AGAGTAATGGGAGGCGATGAATGTGAGCCCAGTGTATATGCATGGTGATGAGTGTGAGCCCAGTACGCACGCATGGTGATGAATGTGAGTGCAGTATATGTGCCTGATTAGTAAGCATGAACGCAGTACACATGCATGGTGATTAGTGAGTATGAGCACAGTATACATGCATGGTGCCACCCATTATTTTGTACACTAATTAAAAAAATTCATGTCTCCCCAACAAATGTTATATAAAGTCAAATGCAAATGAACCCACAGCACTGTAACTGATCGTATAGTAATTCTACATATATGTTTGCCATTCTTTTGATACTAACCCTTCTTTTTTAGAATTTATGTGTGTGGTGTATACATGTGTGTATATGTTGTGTCCAGGAATACACACCTATGCATATGCAGAGGCCAGGAGGACACTGGTGGGGGTGTTGTCATCTTTTACTGCTTTCCTCCTTATTCTCTCACTGAACATGGAGCTTGCCATTTTTTGGCTAGGTTGGAAGCCAGCAAGTCCCAGTGCCAAGGCTAATGCTGCTTCTGTCCTAGCTCTCCATCCCCCAGTGCTGGGGTTATAGTTGTGTGCAGTCAAGTCTAGCTTTTTAAAAGTGGGTGTTGGGGATCCTATCTCAGGTCCTCACACTTGCAGTGTTAGGTTCCCGGCAGGCTCCTAAAATGGCAGGTTTGAACTTAGCCCTGGGGAAGTCCCTCTGCTTACTGGGAGACCAACCAATCCTTATCTAAACTGCCCAGCCTGGGTCATGGAAAGTTACCTAACCACCTCACTACCTATAAAAGATGTCTGACTTCCCCTGCTGGTTGCTGTTTCTCTGCTCTCTGAGAGGTATAAAGGAAGTGCTCTCCCCCATGGAGTTGTCTGGTCGCTGCACGCTCCATACACACAGTAAGCATTCTTACTTACTGAGCCACCTGTCAAGCTCTTACCCCTTATTTCTTTAATGCTGAAATGTCTAAAGAAGAATCAATGCCAGAACTTTTATTTATTATAATACTATCAATGGTACCAAGTAACATCCATTTAAGTAGGAATTGCTTTCAGGCAATGTATAACCTACTTGTGTTTTTAAAAACATTTTATTATTTTTATTTTATGTGTATGAGTATTACGCCTGCATGTAGGTAAGTGCACCCGTGTCATGCAATGCCTGGGGAGGACAGAAGAGGCTGTTGGATCCCCTGGAACTGAAGTTACAGATAGTTGTTAGCTGCCATGTGGGTGCTAGGATTTGAACCTGGGTCTTCTGCAAGAACAGTCAGTGTTCTTAACCACTGAGCCATCTCTCCAGCCCCTGTATAAGCTAACTGTACAATGATTTCCTAGGTACCAATTCAGAGGACAGTGCTGGATAAAATGTGGAAAAGACCCACAGGTCTGTAGGACAGTCTTATTAAAAAAACAAACATTTCACAATAAAGCATTAACATGTGTGTGGGTGTGTATTTGTGTTTTTATGTACACACAAACATACCACTCTAATCAAGTTCTCTAAATGTAAGTGATAAAACAGAAAATATTCTCTCTTACTGATACCTTAGTACAAGATAGAATCTACTGGTAGAACAAATTATGTTAAGGTAACTCACTGATATGTGAATACTAAAGGAAAGATTTATTTAAGGAAAGCACATGCTTCCAAGTAGGAGTATGTCCCAATGCATGACTTATGGTGACTTAAGTTTACAGCACCAAAGGTTGCAATAACATGACTTGCTATATAGGACAGTAAAGCCAAGACTAGTCCCTTTGGTCTTATAGTCTTCAATGCTCCTAGAAGTTGCAACACAGAGGTTAAGAAATTACAGCAATAATTTAACCTGAGTGATTTTGTGAGTGGGATTTAAAAAATTACTTGAAAAATCTAGGCTATAAATTTAACTTGTAGGGTTGGAGAGATGGCTCAGTGGTTAAGAACACTGTTCTTGCCGAAGACCGAAGTTCAAATCCCAGCACCCACATGGCAGCTAACAGCTGTCCGAAACTCCAGTTCCAGGGGATCTGACAGCCTCTTCTGTCCTCCATGGGCACTGCACGACATGGGTACACTTACCTACATGCAGGCAACACATGCAAACATGTAAAATAAAAATAAATAAAATATTAAAAAAGATTTAACTTGCAAATAAGAGGGAGGGAGACTACTATGACTTTTCCTGACTACAAATTTCAAGAGGATTAAGAAATGAAGATTCTTGGGTGGGAGAGATGGCTCAGTAGTTAAGAACACTGGTTGTTCTTGCAGAAGACCCAGGTTCAAATCCCAGCACCCACACGGCAGCTAACAACTGTCCATAACTCCAGTTCCAGGGGATCCGACAGCCTCTTCTGTCATCTGCGGGCATTGCACGACATGGTGTACTTACCTACATTCAGGCAATACACGCATACACATACAATAAAAATAATAAAAATATTTAGAAAATGATTTTTTATATGCTCTTTCCCTTGAAATGATAATATGTACAGAAAATCTAGAAGAATATTTATAGCGCAATATTAAGCTATTCTTCCCAATTATACTTTCCTCATTTAATGCTAAACATTTTCATCTCAATTAAGTACAAGCGTAAGTCAGAGTACATTTCAAATCACTTAAAACGTTCCAACTCCTCAATTACACCCAATACTCCCTACGATTTTGAGTTGTGATGGTAATTCAGATCTATTTAAGCTCACAAATCCATGGCTGGTCAAAGCCCAGCCTAGAAGAACACAAGTGTTGTTACACCTGGCAGCCCTCTTTCCTTTCTAGTCTTCTTTCCTATAAAGGGATGTAACAGTTTCAACTCTTAGTGCTGACTCCCAAAGACATCAAGCACAGTTGAATGAACAGCTAATCTTGGGGCAGGGGAGAACCAACTCTATATGTTGTTCTCTGACCTCCAAGTGTGCTCTGGTATACACACACAAGCCCCCAACACAAACAACATATAAAAACACACACACAATAATAAGTAAAATAAAATTTAAAGAAATATTTCCCTCTTAATTTTGAATAATAATTCCCTTTTTAAAAAATATTTTGTTTAGCTGGGCGTGGTGGTGCACACCTTTAGCCCCAGCATTCAGGAGACAGAGGCGAGCGGATCTCTGTGAGTTCAAGGCCAGCCTGGTCTACATAGCAAGTTTCAGGTCAGCTAGGGCTACGAGGAGACCCTGTCTCAAAAAGACCTCCCCAAATTTTACTTTTATTTTATGTATATGAGTGTATTGCTTACATGTAAGTGTACCCATGTCATGCAATGCCTGTGGAGGTCAGAAGAGAACATCGGATTCCCAAGAACTGGTTCAGTGGGTCAAAGTACTTGAACAAAAGCCTGATGACGATTCAATCCCCGGTGGAAGAAGTGACACTGGAAAACTGTCCTCTGATCTCCCTCCACATGTGCTCTGTGGCTTGTGTGCCCATATTTAGAAACGCATACATAATAATAAATGAAATAAAACCTTGTATGCGCACATAGTATACATGCTTGAGTATGGGTGTGCTTGTGCCCTGGTACCCACGTATAGGTCAGAGGACACCTGGGTGTTAGCCTTCATCTGTGACCTTTGAGACAGGCTCTCTTAGGGTTTGCTGCTGAGTGTGCCAGGCTAGCTGTTTTGTGAGCCTCTGGGGATTTTCCTGTCTGGGCCTCCCATCTCACTTTAGGAGTGCTAAAATTACAGACGTGTGCTACTGATCTGGCTTTATATGGATACTCACTTGTGTGGTCAAGTGCTTTGCTCACTGAGTCATCTACCCAGTCTGAATTATGATTTAAAAAATATGGAATATTTCATGAATTTGCATGTGTGTGCCATCATGCCCAGCTTGAATTACAATTTTTTAAAGGCTAAAAAATTATGAACAAAAAAACTGCTGTATTAAATGCAACTTCATAGATAAATGTTTTCTAACATCTTTTCCTAGACATTACTATTTTTCCTAACATTTTTACTCTTAACTTACTCAGACATATGGGGAATACCATAGACACTGAAGATTTGTTGGCTGTCAACGAGTTAAATTTTTCCTAGGGGAGAAAAATAAATCTACAGAAGCACTACAATGGGTCTGATAATGGGCTATCTTATGAAGCAGTTTATGTAGCACTTACCCTTTCATTTTACCCATTCACTCTTGATTAACTTTTACTCAGCCTACCATCTAATAATACTTCACTTAAGCAATATGTACCCACGAGGTGCCAGATTCTTCCAGTTTATTTCTACTCAATTTATAAGGCTTCCCTGCAAATCTGAACTCTGCCTCTTAAGTATACATGCATTCCCATCTCTACCAGTTCTTCTAACACTGTGTTTGTTCACTCTCCCTTCAAATGTAAAAAAAAAAATATGAAGTGCTATTAATATATTGTCGTGATAGGGAGAATGAGAGGGAACCTTTGTCTTCCACCACCAGATTTTTCAGTAAGAGCAAGATGCTCAGAAGAATTGCGCTGGTTAGTTTTTGTCAACTTAATACAAACTAGTCACCTCAGAAGACAGAACCTCTGATGGGGAACTGACTTCACCATGCCTGTGGACATGTCTGTGGGGCATTTTCTTAAGTGCTGATTGATGTGTGAGGGCCCACTGCGGGTGGTGCCATCCCCTGGGCAGGTCAACCTGGACTGTATAAGTAAAGTAGCTGAGCAAGCCAGGGTGAGAAAGTCAGGAAGTAGTCTTCCTCCATGGTTTCTGTTTCAGTTCTGCCCTGGTTTCCCTCATTGATGGACTGTGATCAGGACACAGCAAAATAAACCCTTTTCTCCCTTCATGGTGTTTCTGGTCAGTGTTTTATTACAGCAAGAGAAACCAAACTACAACAGGTAGTAACAGATATGGCTTAGTAATAATTATGAAATGTCTTTATTTCATAAATTAAGGATTCAGGGAAAGATAAACAGGAAATCCAAACTTGTAGTAAAACAGCTACTCACAGGAAAATGCCAATTTATAAAAACAATAATCCTCTTTCTCTTGCCCATGTGGTACTTACTTGCCATCTGTGTCAGATGTTGCTGCATAGTGCAAGGGGGTGCAGCCTCTTTCATCAAGGTCATTCACACTTGCTCCTGATCCCACAAGGGCAAATAGACACTGATAATTGCAGTTGGCAGCAGCATAGTGCAGTGGAGATCTTTTGTGACCAAATTTTCACAGGAAAAATAAAAGTCAAGAACATACATTTGCAAACATGAGCATAGCTGACCCTTATTTGACCCATTTATACACATTGTATTTACAGAAAGCCCTACACTCACACTACCATATATAAAGTCTAAAAAGAAGGCTTGATAGGCCTGAGCAGTAATATCAGATTTCTTGAGCAGAAAATTAGGCAGTCTTGAAGACTATTTCCTAGTCAGAAGAGCTAGTATACTATTTTGATTTCTTTTTTTGTTTTTGTTTATTTTGGGTCTTTTTGAGATGGGTCTCCCTGCAGCCCCAGCTAGCCTGGAACTCACTTTGTAGACCAGGCTGGTCTTGAACTCACAGAGATCCGCCTGCCTCTGCCTCCTGAATGCTGGGATCAAAGGCGTGCACCACCTGGCTGTTTTGATTTTTAAGGACTGAATGATCATAGCTGATTTCTCTCTGATTATCAATGTGAAACAGAATGTTACTAAATGTTAATTCTATGATTTCATCAAATAACAAACAGAATGTTCACAGCTCTTTATAGTATAATTTTTTCCCTCTAAGACATTTACCAAGAAAATGATAGCAAAACATTATTTTGCCTTATTGGGTAATACTTTAGAGATTATATAAAAGCAGTTAACTCTGGAATTATAAAGCTTCTACAACAGAATATACTTCAAAAGCCCTCTTTGCTATTAATTGTATGGAATGCCTAACTTGCTACAAATTGAAAGAAAATTAGTTATAAAACTATAGCACTGCAAAGCCTAACAGAGTGATGTTTCATTTTTTGGGGTCATTAGTTCCTCCTATTAATAGGTTTGTAAGATCAGCCTGCTTCTCAAAGGAGTCATGCAGTCAAATAGTTTTAGTTTTCTTCTGTTCATTTCTCACTTCCTATCATTCATATGAAATTATTTTCTTTCTCTTCTGCACTGGTACAACCATACAAACAGATACATACATCCACACATTTCCTTCTGACACATACCTTCGCATCAGTTTGTCAAATACAGCTTTTACCTGAGGACATGATATTGCCACCTATGTCTCTCAAACAAATTCAAACTGCATTTTATTCTTTCCTGGTTACAGTGCATTTGGTATGTCTAGTTGCGATCTAAGTAGGAATAGATAATAGGAGCTTCAACTGCTGTAACTACAAATGCTAGCAGCAACAAGACCAGGGGCTGAAGAGACAACATTGGCTGAAGAGCAGGAGGTTCTGCCATTTTAAAGTGCTTTCTTGCAGGTTGTACTCAGGGGGCTAGATGGATGTATATGAGAATAGGAAAGAAAAATCACTCAAATATTTCCTTGCTCTTTAGCAGTGGGACATATGGTAAGACGTGTCAGTAACCAGACACAGGAAGTAGGAACTTGCACAAAATAAAGGCTTGGGAAAGTTCTAGGTACTATGAGTTTCTTGAAGACATATAGAGTTTCTTGAAAACCATGGAGTTTTAAATTTCCATGGCCATAATTATGGGAGGAGAAGTATCACGAATAGAGGTAGTATGGACTATGGGAGGAACCCAATTAGAAGGCAGAGAATAAATACTTAGAAAATACTGCCTTAGCTGGCTGGTGTACATATGCATGCTTGCTCCTTTTATTTTAAAAAAGTATTTATTTTTATTTTATATATATGAGTATTTTGCCTGTATGCAAGCTATGTGTACCATGTACACGCGTGGTGTCCACAGAGGCCAGAAGAGGGCATTAGAACCCCTGGAACTGTAGTTACCAAATTATTCTGAGTTACCACATGGGTGCTGGGGACTGAACTTGGTCTTAGACACTGAGCAATCTTTCCAGCTCTTCCCCCTTTGGTGGGGGGGCAGGGTCTCCTCATAGCCACACCTGACCTGGAACTCATCAGGAAGATCGGGCTGGCCTTGATCTCACAGAGATCTGCCTATCTCTGCCTCTGGAGTTAAAGGAACCACTACTGGCTCCCTTCTATCCTTAAAAAAATTTTTTTTTTCTTTTTTACAGTATTGGGGATAAAACCCAGGACTGTGCATTTGAGGAAAATGCTCTACTACTGAACCACATATCCCCAGCTCTAGTCAGGATTCTCAACAAATTATGATCACAATGCAAAAGATGCTGTATCATTTAGTTCATTTTCAGAAGTCAGCTAGAAGGTCAAGCAAACCATTAAGTAGGTTCTACAGAGGAACTAGATCAGGGCCTACCTCCCAAATTTGTCCTTGTTGTTGAAGTCTGCACCAGTATTCAGCAGAAGGTTTAGGCACTCCAGATTTCTAGTTGGGGTAGGGGTGAGGGAGAGGGAGTTTAAAAATGTAATTGTCAGTGATTTTATGATAAGGGCTACTTTATATTTTATGAAGAAAAAACATTAAAATGCATATTTAGTACCTAAAAATAGCTATACACATACATATTGGCACATGGAAGGAAGTAACAAATGAATCATATTAAGCTGAGAAGGAAGAACACATTTGTAAGAGATCTTAAGGAAGTTTTAGGAAACCAGCAATTTTATGTCTTAAGTGGTTTTAAGGTACTAAATTAAAATGAACTAAAGCAAAACAAAATGAAACACCCTCAAATCCTTAAAACACAGAAAAATGCCAAGTCAATTTCCCCATTGATTCCTACATTTTGATTCTTATTCAGATATACCCTTAGTTAAACTCATAGGACATACATGTATGATACATACATGGGTATTGCTACAATTTAGTTTTACAAGCTTAAACATCAACATGGCACATTATCATGGCCAGTAAGGATTAAGTGTGATCAGATGGTCAGACACATTTAAGTCTGTTGTTTCTTGTCAGTCAAGTTACATGAAAACTGACTTTTAACTGGAATGTCCTCTGGTGTCTTGGCGGAACAAGGAAGTGAGTTACATAAGCTCACAACCATCTATCAAGTAGACTGGCTTGGTGGCATTCTTGGTTCAGCACACTTGTCCTCTGAAATCTTGGGGAAATTTTAGGAAATTATTGCTAGAAATAAAGCTTTTGCAAAATATCTTTTTTGATAAATCATGAATTAAATGGCTTATCACAAATATAAATTATCAGAAGCATTAAATTAGCAACCATGCTAGAGACCAGGAGTTTTTGTCATTTGTCTATAACCCCAGCACTTCAGAGGCTGAGGTAAGACTGTGTATTGGGAGGCCAGCTTTGGCTACATAGCAAGACCCCGTCTAAAATCTAAAAACTCAAAAGCAATATAAATGAAATTTAGTCCAAAATGTTTTAATCACAAAACTTCTTCTCAGTAGAGGCACAACCATGGTATTTCAAAAATACCATTACAGGGTGTAATTCAGAACTTCCACAACATTCTGATGTTCTCATCATTTCATCAACTCTCATCTAAGAACTATTTTCTTTTATAAAAAGTAGAATTTTGGGGCTGAAGAGATGGCTCAGTGATTAAGAGCACTTGCTGTTCTTCCAGTGGACCCAGGTTCAATTTTCAGCACCCACATGGCTGCTAACAACTGTCCATAAATCCAGTTCCAGGGGATTTGACACCCTCTTCTGGCCTCTGTGGAGTATTGCTCACACGGTATACTTACACACATACACAGCCATAGTAGACTATCTGTTTCCTGTCTCCCTCCCCTGGGATTTCCATTATCTCTGCCCGGCACCATTTTAAAGAAATAAGAATACTAATAACATACCCTCCAGCTGCCGCTGCATGCAGACAGGTCCTGCCAAAATCATCTGGGGTATCTATGTCAAATCCTGTAAGAATGAATATATCTTGTCTATTATATATTATAGATGTATTATTTTCCATTAAGATAATTATATCAAGAAATGTCAAATATCACATTTCAATCCCAAACAAACCCATGAATTCTAGCAAGTACAAAATGAATGAAGAAAAAAAAATACTAATAACATAAAACATTACCAAAAAGCTCCACGAATGGTTTGGTAGTTTTACAAGTGCTGGAGCTCTACCACGAGTGGTAGGTAGCTCACACCTCCTGTCTCATAGTCCCAGCTGCTCTGGTCTAGGACAGGAGGATCGCTTGAGCCTTGGCAACACAGTGTGAAACATGTTACAAGTAAGCAAACCGCTCTTAATTACTAAAAGGCTATAGGGTTACAATGAGATATTATTCAGAAAAGGAAAAAAAAGTATTGATATGGATACAAAGATGACACTTAAGAGTATTTTGCTAATTGAAAAAAAACAGCCACAAAACATGATGCTAGACAATTTTATACAAAGTATATCAGTAGAGGTAAATACTGAATTGTGTACTTTAAATTAGTGAATTGTGTGCCACATGGATTATATCTCAGTAAAGCTGTTTAGCCAGGCATGTAGTCCATACCTGTAATCTGAGCACTTGGGAGGCAGAAACAGGAGGGTTACAAATTCAAGGCCAGCCTTGGCTTTACAGTTAAGTTTTTATAAATCCCCCCTCCAAAAGAGACAGTATGTAATTTTTGTCCCATGTAGGTATTACTAACACTGGGAAGCTATTTAAGTATTCTCGTTCATGGAAAACAGGTATATGACCACTTATGGATATTGACTTAAAGAAAACCTCAATGATGAATTTGCTCACACACACACATATAAATAAATGTATTTATATGAATAAATAAAAACTCAAAAAGGTTGGTCAATCTCACTCTTAATATTTTCAACAAAACCTTCAGTACTTGGTAACTTTCTTAATATTGAGAAAGAGAACATAATTTAAAAATCAATTAAATCATGTAGTCAATAATTCAATGCATTTAATAAGGATCATAATTTGAAGTAAAACTGACAGAAATCTATCCAGTTTTCTTATATACCAACTATAATTATAATATTTTAAACTATGTATATTAAATCAACAGTTTCATGAGCCTACAAGATGTTCATAGAATGGCTCTCAACTCTTAAAATGGAGATGCAAACCAGTAAGACATGCCAATTGCTGTGTTTTGCTTCTAGGCTTAAATGAAGGGACAATCTAAGAAGATTACCATCCACTGACTAGAAGCTGCCCTATCAACATTCCAAATCCCATTTCACCAACTTACAAAGAGGAAGAAATTACAAGAACAAAACATTTCCTAAAGCTGTTGAGAAAACCTAGAGAGTGACCAAGCACAAATAAACCTGTTTGGGAAGGTTCCTCTTACCTGAAGAAAGAAGCTTTCTGCAGCAATCTGAAAAACCACTTAAGGCTGCCAAATGGAGGGGGAACATTCCATGGATGCCACGTCTAAAGTGAACAAGGTATAAATTTCATTACAACACAAAAATAAAGTAATTTAAATAAATTATGAAGACACTACTTAAGTGAAAGATAACTAGCTAAGTACAGAGATCTCAATACTGTGGAGAAAATCAGGCCAAACAAAGAAAATGGGCCAAACTACTTTTTTTTTTCCCTAAAAGCAGGATTTTCCAACTTCAGCATTATTGTCATTATGGATTCACTGTGCATTTGTGGTCTACGCTATACATGAAGAATGTTCAGGCGCATTCTTGAGCTATACTTAGATGTCATTAATACCTTCTTCTCCAAACAAAAATGTCTCTGGGTATTTGCTTAGAGAGCAAAACTCCTTCCCCACACCATCCTACAACTTAAAATCATTTATGCAATGTAATGTGTTCAAGAATGTTCATCTCATTCATTTTGTAATGGTGAAAATTTGAAAGCAACTTGACTTTAAATCAGAGAATTAATGTGCGCATCTTTGAATAATTCTGTAAAATAAACTAGATCTACAGAAATGTGAAACACTCAAACTTCTATCTACATTGCTAAATTTTAAGTTGCAAAGACCATGTGAATAGTCACATACCATTTATGAATGTATAGAAAGCTTACATGTTTGCCAATGAATACATACACATGTGCCACACATGAGAAACACCAATTTAAGTAGATCTTGACTTCTGCAGATTATATACAGAAGAATTTATCTTTCCCACAAAATGTATAGAAAAACTTTAGTACTTAATCTAAAGAACAGTGAACTTTTCTGACTAAAAGAGCTGGGATTAGGTGGCAGGGGATCCTTTGCAGTGGCAACAATGGACTCCCTGATTTTTGCATAGCAGTCTGAAAACCATTATCTACAGGTGTAGAAGAAAAGCATTTGTTGTGTATAATTTTTGTGACTGTGGGGTTAAATATAAACGGATCATAAAAATTATACTTCCAATCAAAACTTTGTATTACTTATGCTGGAGAAAAAGACCTAAATAAAATGTTAAAATATGCTACACTGGGTAATTAAGTAAATTGTACTTTGAACATTTAAAATCTACCACACTGTCAATACATGGTAAGGAAAAGCCCAATACTATAATATCGAGGATAAAATTGACAGTTCCACTTGAAATATCTAGAAAACTGCAGCTGACGTCCTTTCCTGCGTCCCTGCAACAGCTATCAACACCTCTGCAAGCACTACTTACTTGGCGGTGTCAGCACCACTTGTAATGAGAGTGTTGATTAGCAGCTCGTGGCCATACCGCGCTGCTATGTGCAGAGGGGTATTTCCATTCTTATCCTCACAGTCAATTACAGCTCCTGTGATGAAAGACACAGTGTCATATACTAGACTATATACAGATCAGCACAAACTTAAATGCAATGTAATGTAAAATGCTGTTTAAGCATAAATTAAGATAGAGCAATTCTAGTTATAGCTAGATTTCATTCATAGCATGATAAACATGCTATCAATTTTATGTTTAAAACAGTTTAGTGAATTCAGCATAGGACCTAAATAAATACACTCTTTTTTGTTTTGCTTTCGTTTTTTTGAGACAGGGTCTCCTGGTAGCCCCAGCTGTCCTGGAACTCACTATGTAGACCAGGCTGGCCTTAAATTCAGAGATCCACCTGCCTCTGCCTCCTGAGAGGATTAATCGCTCCTGTTGGGATTAAAGGCATGCGCCACCATGCCAGGCTAAATAAATATATTCTAAAATAACAATGGGTTCTGGGATTCAATAAAGTGGGAGACCAATATGTTAAACACATTTCTTAAGAGCAACACTTTTCAGAGCGTTAATGTGCTTACTCTGTACTTCACGAAGAGGCTTGCTCATAGTACTTTAAAAATTATTTGATCATGAACGTATTCTTAAGTTTTTCTGTTACAAAGCTCTAGCAACAGAGTCACTAAAGAGCTTGGGAAAAATGGCTCAGTGGGTAAAGTGCTTGCTATGCAAGCTTGAGGAGCCAAGTCAATTCCCTAGAACCCATGTAAAGCTGAACGTGGTAACACATGTCTGTAATCCCAATGTTCTGTGTCAAGATGGCAGGTGGAAATGAGAAAACCCCTGGAAGCTTCTAGGCTGCTAGTCTGGCATTCTCTGCAGCCAACAACAGGCACTTGATTCAAACCAAGGGGAAGACAAGAAGCCAACACCTGAAGCTGTCCTCTGATCCCCACACATGCACTATGGCACCCCCCCCCCAAAAAAAAAGATTTTTGAAAAAAGCCAACAAAATCTATAGCAACTATAGTACCTTGAGAACTATTAACCAATAGTCCTTTGGAACATGGTTTGAGAAACACAGACTTGCAATAATCTATGTGAAAATTACTTTTATTTCAAAGTTTAGCCTGCCAAGTACTAATTCAAACCCAAGAGAATAAAGTGCAGAAAATAAACTAAAACCCTAAAAATAGCTCAAAGCATTCAAACAGAGAATAAATGCAACAAAGTACGTATTAACATATATTACATGTAGAACAGCAATTTTCCATTTAGCAATTTTGGAAAAAAAAAAAGGTCAACACTACTGCTACAGAAATACAGTTCATAGATGGCAATGTGGTGCATGTGGTAAGAGGACTGTGAATTTAAAGTCAGTCCAAGCTATACAGGGAGACTCCCTACTACCCCTGCATGCAAAAAAAGGGCGAGGAAATGAAATCATAGTTTATAAATGAGAATTAAAAAAAAAAAGTGACACACATTCACAGTATATTCATGATATTTTATACTCTGCTGACTTTCAAAAGATCAGCAACAAAAACCTTAACAGTATATAGAGTGCTATGACAATTCCTCAGTACCATTCATTTTGTATTATTTTTTTTAACTACATTAAGAAATTAAAAAGACAAACAGAAATACTTTTTACCACTCTGGATAATGGTTTGTGATCTGGAGAATCTACCGTGGAGGGCAGTCATGTGTAGTGGAGTTTTCCCATCTTTACTCTGAAATAATGGAATAAAAAATTCCAGTTACTATGCTATACCCAGAATATGCATTCCTTAGTTGTACTTTAGATATCTTTTTTGTTTTTTATAAATATTACTCAAGAAGAAAGATTAACTGAAGTCTACTAAGGTAAATCAGCTGTTCAAAAGTATGAGCTTGTTTTTTTGCTAGCATGTGTATCAAATCACAAATACACAAACTGTCCACGCTTATGGTTTATATTCGTGTGGCACTATATAGTACAATGTAAACACCATTCCTATTTACAGGTAGGGAAACTAAAGCACAGGAAAATGAATGATTCAACAGATGTAACCATAATGTGAAGTGACATAGTCACAACGTGCTTTTCATAGTTTAAGATTCAAAATTTCACCTTTCACCAACGTTTTCATTCTATGAAACCCCGGATCCTACCCCCTTAAGTAAATAGAATTCTTTTTAAAAACCATGTATCAGTTTGTCTATAATTATCTGTAACCAATACTGTTAGCTATTTCCTCAAATTATTTAAAATAATCAGAATGGCTGGCTGTGCATTTCTGCATTTCAAGCAGAAATTCTAAAGGAGCTTCAAATGCAAAGAAAAACAATCCCTGAGCAATGTGGTATTTTTTTTTTTTCCTTCTGAGTTAGGCAATGTCTTTTTGTTCCTAAAGTCAAAAAGGAAACAGTTTTGTGCTCCTAATCCCGCAGCATTATTCAGCACACCTTCTGTAAATGTATTGTCACAAATGTGTTAAGTTCATACAAACCTTACACAAATCCTCATGTCATGTGGAGTACTACTTATCATAAACAGTCATCTAGGTATTTGATTCTACAATTCTGATAGTTTGTTTTGAGACAGGGTCACACTGTATAGCCTCAAATTTACTACATATCCCAGAGTGGCTCTGAAGTTGTGGTCCTCCTGCCTCAGCTTCCTAAATGCTGAGATTATAGGCATGTGCCACCACGCTCATTGTGTTTCTACACTTTTGTATGAATTCTGAAGCAGAGGAACTTAAAAGAATTTCTAATCATCTGGAGGGACTGTGAGAAGAGAAAGCGTGTATGCATGCTCAGAGTCTGGCATACGAGCACTGTTGGTGTGAATCTCAGCTTTGCCACTGGAGATAACAAATGGACAAGTTGTCTAACTTCTTTAAGCTTTTACTTCCTCAACTGCAAACAAGGATAATACCATCTAGATCACTTAGGTCAGTTTCACAGAGAAAATAAAATAACTGCAAAACATTTATATAACTCATCTTTGCCTGTTATAAACGTATTGTTTTTATTTGATATTTAAAAATGTGTCAGCCATTCCTTTAAACATAAAAATAGTTTAACAAAAGCATTCTATAGTTTCATGCTTTAAAAAATGTTCCCAGGCCAGGCCGCCTTTAATCCCAGCACTTGGGAAGCAGAGGCAGGTGGATCTCTGTGAGTTCAAGGCCAGCCCGGTCTACATAATGAGTTCCAGGACAGCTGGGGCTACAGGGAATACTTGTCTCAAAAAGACCCCCCCCCCCCAAAAAAAAAATCCCTATGGGCTACGGAACATCTCTCAAAATGTCCTGTAACTGTGGTGAGTCACCTGTCCTCTTGTTCAGGGAGGTCATGGAGACCCCATCTGATGGACCTGAACCAGTGTCCAGTCTACAAAGAGGAGGGTCAACTCAGAGGAAACATTTCCTCTATGCTTCCAAGTGAAGCCACCCATGGTCAAGCAGGACCTTTGACTTACCTTTACATAGATGGAACTGGTAAAAGAAAGGAGCCAGGGGCTCCTCCCAAGCCCATGTGACCCCTGAGGAACAACTCCTCAAAGAACCTTAAGTGTAAAAATAAACTGATTTATTTGGGCCGACTGTATGGTCTTAAACACCCAAAAGGAAAGTATAACCAAAGAGTAAAATGACCAGTGTATTTCTTTAAGAGTTCAAGGGATTACACTTTTCAGACATTAGGTTTAGGTCCGTATAAAAAGTTATTTAGGGGGCTGGAAAGATGGCTCAGCAATTAAGAGCACTGACTGCTCTTGCACAGGACCTGGGTTCGATTCCCAGCATCCACACAGCGGCTACGAACTGTCCTTAACTCCAGTTCCAGGGGAATCCAAAGCCCTCTTCTGACCTCTGTGGCACTGCATGACAGGAGTGCACTCACATACACGCAGGGACTACATTCATACACACAAAATAAAAAATAATAAAATATTTTTAAAAAGTTATTTAGACAATTATTTCTCACTGATGATTTTGTTCCTATCAGAAAGTGCTGCTCAGATGTAAGACTTCAAATCTTGGTCTGCAATACTGCAGTGTCCACCTGTAGCTAAGGGAGACAACCCATTATTGTTCTAAAATGATGGCCAAATTTGTTTTCTCACCATATCTAGAAGCCTTTGAGAGGGAAGTGACACTGATTCTAACCACTCCAACAGCTATCAAAATGCCTGAAAACAAATCCTGAATCCATCACTCTCCAGTCCAGCCTTGGCAGACAAAAGAAAAATGAGGAACCCAACAGAGGGATGCTGTTGGAAGCTCTCATCAAGAAATTCCAATGGACTCTAATATGAATATTTGAAATCTGCCGTTCTGACTTTTTTCTAGTTCCCTGTCTAGAACTTGTAATGCTAATTACTCTTGTCTTTGCTTCTCCTTCATATCTCCTATTCACCACTCAAGGACTTTCTTTTGCCCCTACAGATAAGTTATGCAATTTGGGAGTCTTTTAGATAGAGCCACTGAAGGGGTACCCCAACTGCCTCACCCTGCGTCCCTGTTCAGCATGGAAGAAGTGAGAGCAGTCTGCATCCCGATTCCCTATTTGCAAGTTGGGTAACCTCTATCAGAGGATGATGTGATAAGAATAGGAGGTAGGAATTGGCTAGGCAGTTAGGGTAAAAATACCCCAAAGAAAAGGAGCCAGTTTCTTGGCTAAAAGTCAAAATATCCTTGGGCCGCTTAGCAACATACTCTGTTCTAAAGGCCAAAACTGTCCAAAGAATTTGGGAGCTCTTACCTAATCCTTAAAATATTTCAGGGTTACCTCTTCAGAGGGGGAAGTGTTAGGGTAGCCAAAAGCCCCATATAAATAAATAAATAAATAAATAAATAAATAAATAAAAGAAGAAAGCACATGAAATTATCAGAAAAAAGTGATGGGGAGATATGGGAGGAGTTGGAGGGGAGGGAGTGGGCATGGATTTGATCAAAACACCTTATATGCTTATATGCCTGTATGAAATTCTCAATAAATTATTTTTTAAAATGTGAAAAAAGAAATGTTGCCTATGATAAATTTTAATTTAGTGTTAATTTTTTACTTATAGCCATTTTTTCCATTATCAGAACTTGACAACTAGCACAGTAACTTACAGCCATTTTAACAGACAAAAAAAAAAAAAAAAAAAAAAACCACAACAAACAAAGCAAAAAAATGTGATGTAAATTTGGGATTCATAATATAGTGAAATTTGGAAGATATATATTTAGTTTGCATTCTTAAATATAGTAAACATGCTTCAGGCACAAGTTTAGACATAGTTCATATATACCAGTCATTTAAAACCTCGTAACTCTATGAGATAGATATATTATTTCTGGGCTGGTGAGATAGCTCAGTGGGCAAAAATGCCTCCCGCTAAGCCTGTGACTAAATTTGATCCTTTAAAAAAATAAATTTATTATTTTTCTTTTATGTGTATAAATACATTGCTTGCATATGCGTAAGTGTACCCGTGTTGTGCAATACCCTCAGAAGTCAGAAGAGGTCATGAGATTCCCATGGAATTGGAGTTATGCATGGTTGTTAGCCACCATGTGGGTGCTGGGAATCGAACCCCGGTTCTCTGCAAGAGCAGTCAGTGCTCTTAGTCACTGAGCCATCTCTTCAGTCCTTGAATTTGATCCTAAAGACACATGTGGTAGGCGAGAACTGCCTCCTGCAAGTTGTCCTCTGACCTCTACTTATAAGCACGCACACACACTCTCTAAATAAATAAATAATAAATAAATGTTAAAAAATATTCTTAATATACAAAGAAGAAATTCAGATTGCCAACTGAAAACTCTGTCTTAACTCTGTGGGAGGGCATTATTTCTTTCTTTCTGAATGGGAGAAGCAACACGGAGACAGTTTCTAACTATCTAAAATAATCAAAATAATCAAACTAGGAGTTATATTGTTTTACATTTATTTATTTTTTACATGTGTGTGCTTATTTGTCACAGTGCACATCTGGAAGTCAGAGGACAACTTTCAGGAGTCAGTTGTCTTCTTCCACCATGCAGGTTCCAGGGATTGAAGTCAGGTTGTAAGGCAAATAAACAGAAGACCAGAAGTACTTGGGAGGTTGCTTTCCTATGTTACTGAAGTCAGTAACAACAAAAAGGTATATATTTACAGCAGTTTATTGTTTAAATTTAACTTGGTATATTCTGTATACCTGACCAAACTTTTTTCTTAGAAAAGAACAGAGCAGCTGGGCATGGTGGTGTATAATCCCAGCACTCAGGAGGTTGAGGGAGAAGATCAAGAATTTGAGGCCAGTTGGGCTATAGAGTGTGGTAGCATGTGCCTGTAATCTCTACACTTTAGATGTAGAGGCAAGAGGCTCAGGGGTTCAAGGCTAATCCCAGGTACATAGCAAGTTAAGGTGAGCATGGAGTAAAGGAGACCTTGTCTCCAAATACAGAGATTCAGAGGGAGAAAAAGAAACAGCAGGTAGAAAGGGTGTTCATGATGCAACTAAAGTAATCAAAAGTCAAGTTCATGTTAAGGAAAGTTATAAAAACTAAATGATAAACTGTCTTTTAGAGCCCATTCATTTACTTTTACTGCTCTTGTAGACATCAACTTGAATGTTTAGGAAATGAATTATTACAAACTTAAATTCACATTTCAATTCAACAATTTACAACTTAAGGTCTGAAACAATAAAATGGAGAGCAGAGTATGAAGAAAAGTAGTAGAAGGGTGGAAAATACATGATTAGCAAATTTAAGCTTTATAATGGGTTAAATGTTAAGGGTTTATCCCCTTAGTCAATAAACAACAAACACTGACAACAGGAAATATAGGCATTGGGAACTAATACTCCCGTTTGCTGAAAACTCAGAGCTATCAAAAATTTTTGTACAATTGAGAGCTAGACAGATTCAGAAGTCATCAACACAAAAATGTTTCTATGGAACTTGGCTCTAAATTCATACAACTGAATTGAAATGGTTATCACACTTCCTTAGGCAAGGTTAAGGCAAGTCCTATGGCATCAGCCTTAGGCTGTTACTCTCAAATCCAAATAATAAATTTTACCCCTTTGTTTTTTTTTTTTTCTTTAAATCTTGTGATATAAAAAAATCCACAAGTGAATTTTCTAAATCATTAAGGACAAAACTTCAAAGAGGTCTCCTGTTTTGAACAGTTAAAAGCTAAATCTCTTACAGAATAGATTCTCAATTCTAAATTTCAAAAGAAAAGATAAACTTAGAAATAAATACAGGTACTACAGAAAACTACAATGACAATGCTATGAACCAGGTGACTCATTATCATCAAATTCTATGAAACACTCATGCCTAAGTAATAGCAATAAAGGTTTTATTTAATACAGACACAAACAACTGGAAAGCTTATAATAACTAATGATAGAGGCAAGGCTTCATCATTTCTAGGAAATGCACAGAAAGGATACAAATGATCTTAACTATTTTATCATAGAGTTCTCATAGAGACTGAAAAAAAATTGAATGTGGTCTTTGCTTGAGGGCCATCAAGAATAAATTTAAAAATTTTATTTTTAATAAAGATCATTTTCCACAAGAATTAATTTCTATTTTTTGGTCCTGATTAGCCAAGAATTTCTTAAGGTAAAATGAGTGGCTGAAACCCAAGTGGGGCATGGTGGCACACACCTTTTGCCCAGCACTGTGACCCTGACACAGGTATATCTTTATGAGTTCAAGGTCAGTCTGGTCTACACAGCGAATTCCAGGCCAGACAGGGCTACACGGTGAGACTATGTTTCAAACAAACAACCCCCCCGACAAACTTTACTTTTCATCAATATTTAAAAATTAAACCATAAAAATGTCCCTATTTGACTTTAAGAACTGTAAGTATACATAAGTCCACATACACATGTATATATGATATATATGTATATATAATATGCTTTGCTTTTTTGTGCTGGCATTAAAGGCGTGTGCCACCATACCTGGCCATTATGCCTATTTTTAAAAGTACATTCTTTTGTGTATTTTTGTTTTTGTGTCTAATGCATGCACATGGTCAGAGGACAACTTTGGGTGTTCCTCGGGAGCCATTCACCTTATTTTTGTCTTTTTCTGCTTGTTTGAGCCTCAGCCTTTAACTGCTGCACCATCTCTCCATCTTGTTTTTCAAGAGAGGGTTTCTCAGTTAGCCTAGAGCTCAATGACTATGTCTGTGTCTGCCTCCCTAGTTCTGCTACTTATGTAGCTTTTAGGGATCAAAATTCAGGTCCTCATGTCTGTGTGGCCAGCATTTTACTGACTGAACCATCTCCCCAGTCCATAAATTTAAATTCTTTAAAAAGACAAAGTGTAATAGAGGCGCAAAGGATACTTTCTGTTCTTCCTTCCTTGGATATGGCATAAATAAATTTTGTTCCTTAGTTGAGAGATGGCAATTTAAAGAAATGAACTAGGTTGATTTACTGCTAGCTCCTGAGTGGGTCAGTGGTTTCACTGAAATTAGGTAAGACAGTGCTCATCATACCTACAAAAGGAGCTGAAATTCTCTGTAACCCATATTTTAAGCTTAATTTTTTTTTTTTTAAAACTAATCCAAAGTGGTTCCATTTTGACTGTGGTTTTCTTCTGTCCACAAGAGAGGGTTTGCCAGGTGCGCAGAGGATAAAATGAAGAATCAATACAGGAAGAAACAATGAAAGCACCTTTTGACAATCTAAAATGATATGTACCATAAAACAATAATGCTTGAAATCTTGGTTACCTATGGTTCTCAAGAGAATTACAAAGTGAAAGCAAATTCATTTTGGCTCCTAAAGTTAAATGTATTTCTAAAATGCTTACTCCTTAAAGTGACTGTGAACAAAAAACCAAAAGCAAATACTCTATGTATAACAACTTGATGGTATTTCTTTCCTAACACTTGAAAAATCTCATTAAGAAATTTCACAAAAGTATTACAGCATGTTACCCACATACACATCATCTAAATCCCACCAACATTTTATCACGCCTTCCATCATGTTACCAACCATTCACTGATGTTTAAAGTTAGTTGCAGACATCATCACCGCATCGTACTTCAGTGTACCATTATTCAAGATTTAGTTTTTCCATCTAAATCGAAGCTTACACTTGACAAAGTACAAATCCTATAAGTACTACACGTAGTGGATTTTCACAAATGCTTATCTGAATTATACAAAGGCCTACACAAATACAGAACATTACCATTACCCTACAAAATTTCCTCCTGCCTCTTTCTTAGTTGATGCTTCTTTCCCAGAGACAACAATTGTTCTGGGTCCCCCCTCCCCACTTTCAACTATAAATTCTGGAACTCCAAACAAGTAGAATTCTATCTGTTCTAAAATGTTACACAGGTGGAAAGCATATTAACCTTTTCCTCTCAGCAGAATAATTTTAAAAAATATTTTATTCATTATTTAATGTGTATGAGTGTATTGCCTGCACGTATGTAAGTGTACCCATGTCATGCAATGCTTGTAGAGGTCAGAAGAGGGTGTTGGATCCCTGGGAACTGGAGTTACAGACGGTTTTAGCTGCTATGTGGGTGCTGGGAACCGAACCTGGGTCCTCTGCAATAGCAGTCAGTGCTCTGAACCTCTGAGCCATCTCTCTAGCCCCACAGCAGAATATTTTTTATATTTTTAAAGATTTATCCATGTTCTTAAGTTTACCAGGAGCCCCTTTTCATTGCTGGATAGTATCTGCTATGAATATGCTTTTAAAGAGTAAACTACTTAAAGTATAGATTCTGATTGTTTCATACCTTCGTATTTACATCAGCCCCTTTGCCAACCAGAAGTTCTAAACAGAGTGCTCCATGTGTTGATGCTGCAGCAAAGTGCAGAGGAGTGAATCCTTTTTCATTCTTCTGATTTACATTAGCACCACAGTCTATGAGCTCATTCACAACAACATCTTGTCCATTATAACAGGCCACATGAAGAGGTGTGTTTCCATAGGCATTTGGTTCATTCATCTATTCAAAGGAAAAAAAAAAACCATGAAAGTTAAACTCATTCTGCTTATTGTAAGCTATTTTAGGAATGCTGTGGTTGTTGAAGTTACAGAAAAAGGGAACAACACAAAGATGAGGCTTATAATGCTAAAGTGTTTTTTTTTTTTGTTTTTTTTTTTAAATAATGAATATGGGGCTGGAGAAACTGTTCAGTGGTTAAGAGCACTTAATTACTCTTTCAGAGGACCCAGATTTGGTTCTTAGTACCCACAAGGCAACTAGTTCCATTTTATTTATTTATTTACTTGAGACAAAGTCTCACTATGTATTCCTGGCTAGTTTGGAACTCATTATGAAGACCTGGCTGGGTTGAATGCAGAGAGATCTGCCTACCTCTGCTTCCTGATTGCTGGGATTAAAGGCATGCACCCCCATGCCTGGCCCTAAAGTGTTATTTTAAAAAATAAAAATGGAGCTGGACAGATGGTTCAGAGGTTAAGAGCACTAGCTGCTCTTGAGGAAAATCTGGGTTTGACTTCCAGCACCCACATGGCAGCTAAGAACTGTAACTCCAGTTCCTGGGGATCTGACACCAACTTCTGGCCTCTGTGGGCATTGCACGACACAGGTGCACTTACATACATGCAGGCAAACCACTCATACACATTAAAAAAAAAAGCAAAGCATATTATATATATAAAATAAAATTTTTTTGAGACAGGGTTTCCCTGTAGCCCTAGCTGGCCTGGATCTCACAGAAATCTGCCTCTGCCTCTTGAGTACTGGGTTTAAAGGCACGCACCAAAACACTGGGTCAAAACCAAACAAACAACAACAAAAAACCTTTTTTAAAAAATTTATTTTATTTTTATGTGTATGCGTGTATTGCCTGCATGTAGGTAAGCACACCCGTGTCATGCAAGCCCACGGAGGACAGAAAGAGGCTGTTGAATTCCCTAGAACTGGAGTTACAGACAGTTGTTAGCTGCCATGTGGGTGCTGGGATTTGAACCCGGGTCTTCTGCAAGAACAACCAGTGTTCTTAACTACTCGGCCAATTATCTCCTATGATTTGCTATGGTCATCTAAAGGAAGTTATCTGACTTACTAGGCTAAGCAAACTAACAATATCACAGCCACCTACTCTAAGTGTGTCTGATCTGTTTGCTTCCATAGAACTAGAAGAAACAGTGCTACAGTGCCTGAAATGTGATGGGAAAAAACAACTCTGGGAGAATCATTCACCTTTGAAATGGGTTTTAACTCTTTACTAATTTAACTTTGACTAATTACATATCTTGATCATATCAGTATTCTAGCTATTTGAAGGACTATAAAGATGTGGTAAAAAGAGAACAATATTACTCATCTTTCAACCTGAGATAACTTCTGACAGCAATACAGTAATAAAATACACAACACTCCATTATTTATACTGCTTAATCTATGTACCTACATCAACTCCAAGATCTAGAAGATACTTGACTACACCGATCATTCCACTAGAGGCTGCTGCATGGAGAGGTGTGTAAGATTTCTTATCTTTGCACGTGACTTCAGCTCCATGAGACACAAGTAACTTTACTACTTCAATGTGACCTGAAAAGATAAACATATAGGATTATCAAATATATTCTGGATACCTTTTAAGAAAGGTAAAATGGCACATTAAGTTTGTAATGCATGATGTTAACCAATAAATGCTGTAATTCACGAGATTCAAGAGAGGATTCGGGGGGAAATCTAAGAACTCAGATTTTGACAAACGGTAGAAGAGAATAACTAAAAATAAGACAACTTATTATTTTACCCAGTGATAAACTTGACTAGGTTGACTTGACTGGGTTGTTCCTCAACCCCAACAGGTTATTTAACTTCTTCTCTTTCTTCTAATGCCTTGGGTCATGTTATGGTGCAAGAGAAAGGCACTTATCACATGCCAGTGCCTTCATTTTGGATTTCCCAAACTCCAAAACTGTAAGGCAATAAATTTCTGCTCATGATAAACTATCTGACCTCAGGTATTCTGCTATAGGAACATAAGGCAGACCAAGACATGTACTGTGATCTCCAGAACACAAAACACCTTTTTAATCATTAGCAAGTGGCTCAAGGGGACACCAAAGTTATGCTAGGTCCAGACCAAGATCCACACATTCAATTATTTAAGCAGTTCAACTATAGGCAGCCCACAAAATTATTGTGGTTGTCACTTCATAGCTGCTTAGCAAAGCCTAGTTCTTCAAATGTGAAAGGCCTAGTACATGAGACTCATTGTATAAACCTTTGTATTAAATATACAGTGTGCAGTTTAAAATGACATAGACTAGCCGGTTCTAAACTGTCTTGACAAATAATCTGCAACTGCATATTCAAGAAAGTCTCAAGACTTAGAAAACTATAATGTGTACAAGACTTTAGGATACCCAGGAGACAAGCATTTGGCTACTTTATCTTCAATTAACACAAGAAAACTGTCCATTAAATTAGTAGAGGACTACATTTTTGGAGCAGAACACCAAGTTTTCGAGTACTGACTATCAAAATAGAACGCATGATAAAAACGGCACCCTTGGGGTGGGGGTACACTTGTAATCGCAGTGCTGGGGAGGTGAAAAAAGGCAAATCTCTGAGGCTTGATAACTAGCCAGTGTAATGGGAGAGCACATCATGTGGAGTCCAGAGGTCAAATATCAAATATCAAATTTTTCCTTATTGCCCTCTACCTTACTTTTTGAGAACGGGTCTCTCACTGAGCCTGGAAATCACTGGCTAGACAAGTGGGCCAGAGAACTCTGGAGATCCATCTGTCTCCACTCCCTACAACTAGCACTAGGGTTACAGACCAGTGCCAACACATCTAGCTTTTACGTGGGTGCTGGGGAAACCATACTCAGGTCCTCATGCTTGCTTTGCTTTACCAACTGGGTTCTCTCTCCAGCAACCCCTCCCCCCTTTTTCAAAAATATATTTTATTTTACAGTGCCCCCGGAGGTCAGAAGATGTTGGATCTTCTGGAACTGGCTTGACAGATGGTTGTTAGCCACCATGTGGGTGCTGGGAATTGAACCTGGGTCCTCTGGAAGAACAGCAAGTGTTCTTAACTACTGAGTCATCTTTCCAGCCCCTCCCTGTTATAGTTCATAACGCTAACTATCTTCCGTTGAATAGTCTTTTAAGTTTTTAAATGGGAGACATGAAAAGATGTAACCAAGTGCTTAAGAGTAATGAACACAAGCTGCACCTGGAAGAATGGTTAGCTGGATGTCTCTGTAATCAAGTAGTGTGATGGGAAATCATGGAGTGAGTCTATTATCACATAGAAGGTACAACAATTCATCATGTATGACTTTTCTAACTAGATAAACAACTGGAGAGGCAGAACTACAGCCTTTGGTAGGAAGAGAATAAGCTCCGAGCTCCACAGCTGTGAATAGAGGAGTTCTTTAACCTCTGGTTAAAAAACTTCAAAAACAAATAGCAATATCCTTGGCCTTTTCCTAGAGGCACAACTCCACCTTAAAGAACTTCAAGGTCCACGGTAGATTATGCTTAGAGATCTGTTTCTATCTGCATGGTCTTAGTACCCAGAGACCAACATTTCTGTGCTGTTATTTCTGGGCATTAAAAAAAAAAAAAGTTAAGATAGGCTGATCTACCTCCCTGGCGTTCCAAGTTATTTCAAGAACAAATTAATGTTTTGCTGATGCTCTACATAGGTTTTAGGTGGTCTATCTCTGCTCTACTTTACTCATAAGCTTTATTAGCATTAGAAGTACAATCATAAGATTTTCTAAAACATATTTTACAGCAGAAAACTCTGTATTCTAGGCATCAGTTTCTTTCTGTGAAATCACTGCTATGGAAACCAAGTATGATGGTGCAGATTTAACCCAGAGCTTAGTCCAAAGTACTAAGTATAGTTTAGTGTTTTTTTTTTTTTTGTTTTGCAGTGATGGGGATTGAGCCTGAGGCCTCGTGTGAGCTAGGCAAACATTATCACTTCAGCTATATCCCCAATTCAGTAAGTGGCTTCCTTAATGTACCATAATGACTTATACCTTAATATTCCAATAAAAAGGAGGAAGGGTATGAGAACAGCTTTTAGTAACCCAATCTTAAGTGAAACAACCTAGACCAGTGCCTGATGTATCTCTCCTTTTAGAGGTAAAAACATTTCAGCTTTTATAAACTGGATTCAGTGTACTCTGCTGAAGCAAGTCTCTCTTACTTATTCTGTCTGGACAGCAATCTCAGATATGGCATAACATCATTACATTAGAAGAAACATTAACCAAATGCCAAGAACTAAAATGCACATGTCCTCCTAAATATATAATGTCAAAAAATAAATTCAAAAAGTACACACTTACCAGGCATACTGCTACACATACTAAAGAGTCCCAGCACTTAGGAAGCAGAAGCAGGCAGATCTCTGGGAGATGGAGGCCAGCCTGGTCTATGTAGTGAGTTCTGGGGCAGCTGGGGCTATAAGAGACCCTGTCTCAACCCCCCACCCAAGAAAAAAGTACATACCCATATATGCTGCCCAATGGATGGCACGCCTATCTTTCTTGTCAAAAGCATTAATATTGGCACCTCTGGACAAGAGTAGTTTGACCATCTGGAACAAAAGTAAATAGTTTTCACTGAAATTATGAAATAGAATTGTTCATAAATATGGCTTCTGATGATCTAACTCAATTTCTAGGGCACCGAACTTCTGAAATTGTAGAAAGAATTAAAATAGTGAAGGACAATAATAGTATGATAAATTTGGGGGGGGGGGTCACTGTGTCACTAAAGTCAGGCAGTAGTATCTTTTCAGATGCCACTTTGCACCTCAGTATTTTATGAACAACTAAGCACAAACCTTGAAAGTCTAAAGTTGGTATACTCAAGCACTGTCTAATCCCAGTAATATTTGAAATTTAAGTCAATCCTCAAAAGTAGATACACTATGTTTAAATCAAATGATTACAGTCTATACTTATCTCATAGCAAATCAATAGTAATATTATATCTAATCATACTTACACTTATTTCTCCATTTTCTGATCTCTCCATTCTCAATCTTTGTGTTTGTAAGTCTATAATGTGAAGGACTAGGATCGGCATATACTGGGGTGTACCTGTAGCTTCAGCTACTTGGGAGGCTGAGATAGGACTTGAGTTCAGGAGTTCACAACATAGTAACATTTCATCTTAAATTAAGAAAGTAAAGTGAAAGGCAGGGAGGGAGGTAGTATTAAAGGAACAGAACAAAATTGAAAGTTAAGGAAGGAAACAGGAAGAAAAAAAAAAGGATTGGACAAGTTAGGTTCAAAGGTTCTTCAAATTCTGGTTCAGTTAGGATAGCTGATCCTTGCTGAAAGATAAATGAATACTCTGTGTCTGTCTGTGTGTGTGCACATGGAGGCTAGAGGTTGACACAGGTGTTTTCCTGTTACTCTCCCCCTTATTTTTTGAAAAACGGTCTCTCACTGAACCTGGAGCGCAGCAATTTGGCTAGGCTGACTGGCCAACAAGTTCCAGAGGTCTTTCTACCTCCCCAGAGCTGGGATTACAGGTGCGAACCACAGTATCAGACTTTATACGTGGGTGCTGGGTCTAATGCTTGCATGGTAAGTACTTCATGGACTAAAACATCTCTCCAGTCATGTGATGGCTAATTTTCTTAAACTTTTTTTTTCTTTGATGGTTTGGTCACTATGGAATTATGTTGACTAAATGTTCACAGTAAACTATAAGAAAATATATTTTCTAATCTCTGCCTTTCTTTGCTATTATCCTTCCTTCTGAGAGAACAATGAAATTGCTGTCTCTGCAGAATTTCGACAATGACAGAATACACTTTCCATGTTGTGCATCAACTGAGAGTGTTCTTCGTCATTCTAGGTTACTATAAAATTCAAGTGTATGAATAAGAGAATAGGACATACTGAATAAATTCAAAATTTGAGAATGTTTTATCACTGAAAAAGAAAAAAGCTGGGAAGTTTGCTAAGGGCAAGATTACAAGAAAATAAACAAGATACGTAGTTTTGTTTACTTTTACTATGGACTAATGAGTAGAAAAGGCAAATTCATTAATAACCAAGGGTTGGAAGGAAGACAATTACTGTCTAATTCAAGGCGCCTACCTCACCATGTCCACTAAAAGCTGCATGATGCAATGCAGTTCTTCCTGCTCTATCAGACACATTCACGTTACTCAGAAGGGGTACCAGAGCTTCAGCACACTTGACAGCTTTATTAGCAGCAGCTATGTGTAAGGGAGTTTGCCAGTTTTTATCTCGAGCATTTACATCTGCAGAATGCTTCAAAAGTATCTGAACTGCTTCCTAAAATACAAAGATAAAAGAGTGAACAGTTTTAGAAATTTCTAAAAATGTACACATATGGAGAAAATGTCCTGAGGAAATAAAAAAGTTTTGACAGAGCCCACTATAAATAAGTAGGAATCTGCTTAAATTTTTTTTTTTTAAATTTAAAGCAGTACTCAGCCATAAAAAGATGCATCTTGATAAAACCATCCCTTTCCACTTTCCCATTAAGGGTACAGTACTCCCTATGAAAATGTACAAGAAACAAAATACAAAGAAATATCGATACTTTTAAAATAAACATTCATATCTTATGTTTCTAATTAGCAAAATACAGACTATACGCTGAACAGTTTTAATATGATTATTACTTTGACATTGAATATACAAAAATTAAAACCACAGCAGTTCTCAAAGAATTATGTGCTACGTTTTACCAAGTTAAAAAAAGTAGGTCTTAGTTCACTAAGTTAGATTAGGAAAAAATAGAAGATACATAATAGGTCTTTTGCTGTAATGTTACTAAGGTAAATGTTAGCACTGAGGCAACCTAAGAGTTTAACCAAAGAAATGGAAAACTCCCACTGCTATTTTTATAAACCAGATATATGGCAAGATTCTAAGGAATTAAGCACACTATTGATATTAAGCAATATGATCAGAATCAATCAGCAAAATTTTCTCCTTACAGTTAATCCTATCTTCGGTAGGTAAATGCTAAACTACGTAAGACAATGAAAAGGAACAGAACTAGTAGAGAACCTCAAGTCTTGTAAAAACGGCCCCTTGGTGTTCTTATTTATGGAGAGGAGGGATTTACCGGAGCACTACTCTTTCTAAGGTTGTTATAGGGCACAACAAACTGATGTACATGGAAAGCATTAAGACATAAACAGCTATAAAAATACAAGGTTTCAAGGAGGACTACAAGAAATACTATTGCTTATGATATAACCACAACCAACTTTTTAAGCCTTTGAAATAAACAATTAAATGCATAAGCATTTAATAGGATTGACAAAAGACTAAAGTGATGCCCAGGAATCTACTAACTTGCTGAGGAGGCCAGCCAGCTAGTCAAAGATACACAGAGACCACAATTGTGATCCCACAATTTCATTCCCGCTATTTACCCAAGAGAAATAAAAACAGACACATTCAAGAATGCTCAACAGTCATAAAACCAAAAATACAAATGTTCATCACTGGGGAATAAAAAGGCAAACTCTCACATCTGTTCACTACTCAGTAAAAATAAATTCATTATTAATGAATGCAGTATCAACAAATTTTAAAAATGTTACAGAAAAGGAAAAACAAAATAACACATATTGCTTAATTCCATTTTTATAAAATTGTAGAAGAGGGGAAAATACACTGATATTTACAAATCAGAAGTCGTTGCCTCTTGGGATATGGAAAACTGAATAAGAAGAAAAAAGGGCTGGGGAGGTGGCCCAGTGATAAAGCACTTGCTGTGCAAACATGAAGACCCAAGTTCATCTCTGCTAGGTGTGATAGCATGTGCCAACAGTAACTTCAGGGCTGAAGGAAGAGCCTAGGCTTGCTAGCCAGTCAACCTAGCCAAAAATGGCGGTGCTCCAGGTTTAGTGAGAGCCTGTCTCAAATACAAAGTGGAGTGATAGAAGAGGAAGACACCTGAAGTTGGTCCCTGGCCTCTTCTCCCACATGCACAGGTGAGTGCACTCATGTGTACACTGATACATACATCGATTCCCCCACCCCCATGCCCAAAGGACTTAAGAACTCTGCTATGGTAATGGAAGTCTTCTGTAATTTGACTGGGATAAAGATTACACAGGTCAAACCTTGTGAATATACACTTAGAAGCTATGCATTTCATTTGAAATTATATTATTTCAGTTTAGAGACTATGGACACAGAGGAATATGTCCACAAAACTATGGAAAAAGAAGACCCCATCAGGATTTCTATCACCACTTAAGAAGGGTACAGCGTGACCTGAGAGATAAAACTCATACTTTATCATGAAATGTTGATGGACTGGTTAGTAGATGTACTAGAAAATGATTTAAGGGACCGGAGAGATGGCTCAGTGGTTAAGACCACTGGTTACTCTTGGAGAGGACCCAGGTTCGAATCCCAGGACCCACATGGCAGCTAACAATTGTCTATAACTCTAGTTCCAGGGGATCCGACGCCCTCTTCTGACCTTTGCGGGCATTGCATGACATGGGTGCACTTACACTCATACACACAATAAAAATAAGATATTTTTTAAAAATTTTTTATTATTTTTATTTTATGTGTATGAGTGTATTGCCTGCATGTATGTCCGTGCACCCGTGTTGTGCAATGCCATGGAGGTCAGAAGAGGGCTTCGGAGTCCCCTGGAACTGGAGTTAAGGACAGTTCATAGCCATCATGTGGGTGCTGGGAAACGAACCTGGGTCATCTGCAAGCGCAGTCAGTGCTCTTAACCACTGAACCATCTCTCCAGCCCCATAAGTAAAATATTTTAAAAATGAAAATGATTTAAAATAAAAGGAAGAACTTATGATGGATATACTGTGCAATATGGCATATTAGGGATGCTAGTCTGGCTTTAAACATCCCCACTCTTGAATCCACACCATGAAAGCTTCTGAAAAATGTGCAAATTATTTCCACTCCATTACTAAAATTGATATGAATTACTGTTTTAAGCCAGGCATGATGGCACATACCTATAATACCAGCACTTGGGAGGCTAAGGCAAGATGATTCTGAGTTTGAAACCAGCCTTTGAGATCCAACCTCCAACAAAACAAAACAAAATTTAATTTTATTTATTTTTATTTTATGCATATGAGTGTTTTCCTTGCATGTATGTAAGTGCATTTGGTCATGCAATGCCTGAGAAGGCCAGAAGAGGGTGTTGGACCTCTGGAACTGGAGTTCTAGCAGGTTGTTAAAAGACACCATGCAGGTGCTGGGAGCCAAAACCAGGTCCTCTGCAAGAGCAGCTAGTGCTCTTAAACACTGAGCTATCTCTGCAGCTCCAGAACAAAGTTTTTATTTCATTAAAAAGTGAAAATAAATCAAGTTCATGATCAGTAAGGAAACTGGGTCATCTACAGAAGGCTGGGCATACACCAACTAAGACTCCATAACCAAGACAGGCCAAGGCTTGAACCCTACATTACACTACTTGCAGTAATACACGCCCAAGTAGTAAACTCAGAAAAAATGAAAGATAATCCCCAAAGGTTAGAGACCAGTACAGTTCCAGAAGTACAAGCCAGAGAGCTCAATGTCACATCCAAATACTAATTCTAGATCATAGCATATAAAATGTGAAGTTGATAAAAAATATAGATGGTTTTACTAGCAGCAAATATTACCTAATTCCCAAGTTTTTAGTTATTAGAGGGTATATGTAAGAAATGATTGCTAGAGGCTTAAATTTTTTTAAAGCCAAGGAAATTTAAGTCAGACTATGACATACAGAGTAATGAGAAAAGATTAAACAATTTTACATGAAAGGTATTTATTAATACAGTAGAAACACTCTAAAAGATTCTACAGTACTAACCAGCTCTCTTTTAAATTCTATGCCTTTTTATTAAGAAGCTCTTACCACAGATTTGAAGGAAATGAAGGAAAAGGAAGGATTAACATATTCACAAATCATTTAGGAAGACCATTAAGAGTGAGATTATGTAACAAGCTCACTTATCTCAGCAGAACCAAAACATAATACCTGGGGTGGTTAAAAAAATAGTCTATTCTACAGAGGATCCGGAGGCACAGTGTGGCTTTGTATACGCAAACATGTACACACACCCATGCACACCTCTGATATCCAGAAACTGACCTACTCAGGATACACAGTATGTACTGAGAGCTGAACTCTACAATACTCTTACTACATTTTGCCTTTAAAAGATCCATCTTTTTCTTTGACACATTATGTGGCCACAGTTTTGTTGTAAAAGAAATACAGAAAATGGTTCTTCAGCCACTGTCCACTCTTACTCAAGAGTGCTCCACTTTATAACAATTTTCTTTTGAAAAGAAAAATAATGTTCCATGTTTATGGATGTTATATTTTCACAGAACGGCCACATTTCATAGTTGTTTCATATTATCCTACAGAAAGTATCAATACAATATAACCCATTAACTTTGAGCTGAAAGAAAATGTAAGGCATTTATCAGTACAGTACCACTGAATTCTTACTTTTCGAGTCAGGGTCTTACTATGAAGCCTAGGTTACTGCACTCACAATCATCCTGCCTCAGCCTCCTGAATGCTAGGATTACAGACTTGCTGTACCACATCTGGTTTAGGACAACTGATTTCTAACTTATAGCTTGCTCTTAAATGAGCCTGAGTATATGGTTTTTCAGAAATCAGGAGTCAAGTCTATAGGCTTAATTAGTTTTTCTTTTTCTTTTTTCAGTCTTTCTGAGACATAGTCTCCCTAGAGCCCCAGCTGTCCTGGAACTCACTATGTAGACCAGGCAATTTTGTACTTTCTCTTTTTCTTTGGCAGTGCTAGGGATCAAATCCAGGGCCTTGTGCATGCCAGTCAAATACTGTGTTCCCTGTCCTTAAAGCACCATTAATTTTAATAGCCGTATTTCTAAGAGTCTTGCTGAAAATGACTAACGTTAATAGGTTCCAGTAACAGTAATGTTTATCTTTATTGCTTTTATCTAGTGAAGCATCCTTATGAAAGGCTAAAACCACAAAATCAATACTACCATGGAATTTCAGAATTTGATGTTTTGGCTAATATGTGTTTCTTTTCACAGTGACCCATATTTGCCAACATTACACAACCAGAAAGTTGAGGTAAGGTTACTTTCTTCAAATTCAAGTTTCCTAAATTCAGCAGCTACCCCACCTAGATAGGAACCAGGTTGTATACATGTGTATTCACTGTTCTCTTCTCCCAGCCTCCTAATTAGGAGGCTACAGCTAACATACCTCCTGTCACACAGCAAGGTTTGCTGCTACCCATCCCAATGGCATTTCCCTGCTATTCTCTTTATTTGCCCAGCTCTTGTTCTGGGTTCAAGATTTAATTTACAGCAGGGAATATAAAGAAGAATAAAGAGGCAGGAGCTGTCTTGGTTTCTCCTGAGGCACGAGAGTTGCTGCTTTTTCCTTCTCCAGGACTGACTACATGGCCCCGTGAGATAAGGAGCAGGAGCTACACTTAGGAGTTCCTTTCTCATGTCTCATTGCTCATGATATGAGTAACTGAAGACATATGGATTGGCATAATTTATATAATCACAGTTTAATATCTTAATCTATTTCATGTGTGCCCAACACAAGAACGTACACATATAAAAATGCACACCACATAATATTTCTAAATTTAACTCCAGTGTTCAAATAAGTATTTCAGAGTTAATCATTGTACAATGATGATATCATGGTAAGCAGAACCCTGTAACATGATATTGTGAACCAGTAGAGAAACACCCAAGAAGGATGTGCTAGAAAAAAAATTTCTCTTGAAGGAGTGACAGAAATAAGGGGTTCTATATTCTCACTTACTCCAGACTCGCCAAGAGGTCTTACAAAAAGGAGAAATGCAACTGTTTAGTTTGTACAAATTCTGATGTAAAATGACCAGTCTAAATATTTTAGTAGTTTTTCTTTCTTTTAAAAGTGTAGAATTTTAAGTGGGATTCATGCAGGCCTACTTAATGTTTCTTTATATACATTTACTAAGAGAAATGTCATACCTCACTACAAGATGCAACTGCTCTGTGTAAAGGTGTCAACCATTTGCTGTCTTTGGCATTAACTCTAGCTCCTGCAACAAAAAGAAAAAAATAATTGAAATGTTTTACATAAACTATTTTTTAAAAATCTCCTAAAGAAATAGTTATATGTAGTCCCAATTGGAGAACAAATTATTTTTTCTGCTAATAAATTACCCTTAAATTATAAAACAAATTATCCTTTTTAATTGATACAATTATCCAATAATGTATTAGTTCTTTTTATTAAAAATAAGTACAATTTTATATTTAGGTTAGAAAAGTCACCTTTATACAGAGCATATCCAAGATAAAAACCAAACCCAACTTTAAAGTATGTGTTAACTTAAAATACTTAAATAAGTGAACATAACACTACTCCAAGTTGTAAATTATTTCAGTTTCATTACATTTCTTTACTAATGACTGTATCATGTGATAAAGTAATATAAAGGCAGTTCTACAGGTATAACTAAAAGCACATTGGCACTGCAAGGTTACTGTACAAAATGGATACAATGCTTATAGATTTAGGAAAGCCAGAAAGAAATGAACCAATTCACACGTTTTTCCTTGGTTATAACTAAGGTTTAAAGAAGAAATTTTTAAATCAAGTATGAGTAATTGTTTTAAAAAAAATCATTAAGATTTGTAACAAACAGATTTTTTTTTTTTTTTGGTCTTTTTGAGACAGGGTCTCCCTGTAGCTCCAGCTGTCCTGGAGCTCACTATACAGACCAGGCTGGCCTTGAACTCAAGAGATCTGCCTGCCTCTGCCTCCCAAGTGCTGGGATTAAAGGCATGCACCACCACACTGGGCAGAAGTACCTTTAAAAATGCAAATACATTTAATAAGATCAAAAGTATTACATGAACAGGAAGTGAAAAAAATCAACCATACAGAAGTGGAACACAGTAGGATTACAATGAAAGTACAGAAGAAACACCTCTGGCTGCTGGAACTAGGCCCCCTATCCTGTCTTAGAAATCACCCAAGATTTATCTTTATCTCAAATTCTAATGCCTCATTTTCTAGATGATAGCAAAAGTATAGTGAGTAACCCCATGGTTCTTCCTACAGTTTCTCTCTCTGTTTCTCACCCCTCCCATGGTAATATATAAAATATATGGCTATAGTAATATATTTATATATACTGTGCACATGCGTGTCTGTGTCTGTGTGTAGAAGTGTAGGCCTGAAGGGTATGGACATAGATACCTAGAAGAGATACTACCTGGGTCAACAAAGGCAATGAGCAAGGTCTTATAAATCTCACAAGAGATTTATAAACTACAAGAGAACAGAATGTGGTTGTTGCTTAAAAAGTAAGGAGGCTCTTATGTGCTGATACAGCCTTGAGAAATAAAACACTAAAAAAAACTATGAATATGTCTTACTTTTAGTTAGAAATAGAGATGTTTATATTTGTATTTGCTTTATATGAGCACTGAAGCCCTAGACAAGACATTAGTAAGACTAGGTGCCTGTCTGCTGGCGCTGCTTGTGGGGTACACTAAAGACTGGGCATATAGGGGACTGGTAAGAAAAGCTATTTCTGTTTTTTGTTACTATCTACTATCCTATTTTAGTCTACTTTCTGTTACTGTTTATGTATATGCAGAATACTTTGTATTACCTATTCAAAAAATGAAATTTAGAAAAGGCATAGTCATAAATTTCCAAGATTTTTACTTCAAGGACAAACAAATAATATGCAACTGAACAGGAATTAGATTTTTTTAAATGTCATTTGGAAATAGGTTATCAGATATATAACTACATGAAGGCAATCTAATTTCATGGTACACTAATGAGACAAAAATTTGAAAGAGAAACCCTGTTCATTCTATCTTGTTTTAAGTCTTTTTTTCCCTCTTCATGTTTAATAACATAAATTAATTTACTGAAATGAATGACAATAATACAGAATCCATTAATAGTTAACTGAGGATATCACACTGCTACTGTAACTAATAGACAATGCTAAAACTATGTGGCTTGTTCTTTGATTCTGAAAATACTTATCTGTAGGAAGATATCACCAATGGGATTAAAAAATATTTATTATTTTTATTTTATATGTATGCATGTATTGTCTGCATGCAGGTGAGTACACCCGTGTTGTGCAATGCCTGCGGAAGACAGAAGAGGCTGTCGGATCCCCTGGAACTGGAGTTATGGACAGTTGTTAGCTGCCATGTGGGTGCTAGGATTCGAACCCGGGTCTTCTGCAAGAACAGTCAGTGTTCTTAACTGCAGAGCCATCTCTCCAGCTCCCACCTATGGGATTTAAAAACCTCTGATCATAATCTTTCTTAGAAGGCTGCTATCTTTTGTTATGTGTTTCTTCTAAAAGTACTAATTTGAATTCCTTGGAATGTAAAGGCCAACTTATGAAAAATCTGAGGGTACTAATGGAAATGTATTTCCCTAAGTAACATGGGTCAATTTATTTTACGTGATTTGCATACTGGCAAATATGACACAGTAGTGCACAGTACCCAGAACAGTAGTTGGCTGTGTTCCTATAAAAGGAAGAATATTGTAAAACCTACAAGCGCAGTAGCGCATTTCTGATGATTCAGATTCCTAGAGCCTCTTTCAGTGAACTCGCTGAAGGCAACAGATTTCTGTTTTACAAAGTACCCTCTAATGCTAGCTAGATATTATATGCACATTAGACAGCAAAGTCATCCTAGGAATGCAAAAGATGTAGCCAGAGTAAAGTTAAGTGGTCCAATAGCCAGTTGGGAGTACAGAAACCTAGTCAGTAAGGTTAACAAGGAAGATGGAGAAAGAAAGAAAATGAAATAAAAGGAAGGAGAGGGATAGAGAACATATCTACCTAGAGAAAAACCAAGAGGTAACTGCCTCAAGGGTATCACCACATGCTCTATACATGACACAAGACAAAATTTGTGGGCTATAAAGTTGTTAAGTCATCAAGACATTTCCTAGTCATCAAAACAGAAACTATAAACTAGCAGCCCCAATTCCATTACTGATGTTAGATTACTGGTACACCTTTTGGTAGGAGAAATCGCCGCAAAGAAACTGAAGACGAAAAAGAGCAATTTAAGGAAGTTGGTATTATCTAAGTACCAGGAGCACATTGAATTAAATCCAAAATGTTTACTTTCAATTGAATAATCAATGTATTTTTAATAGAGCCTCAAATCCATGCATAAACTAAATTTTTTCTTAAATAAGTAGCCAGATTCTACACTTACACAAAAATATCTGACTTTGGATTTTACCTTTGAACTTAGTTTTGTTTCTTTTATTAAATGAAGTATCACCACAAACAAGAAATAACAACTGCAGAATCACCTTAAACAAGTTTGTTCCTATTTGATACCATGGTTATATTACAGGAAAAAAACTGCAGCTAAGTAGCTTCCTTTAAGTCAACTTTTCATTTAATAATTCTTTTATGGGGGGCTGGAGAGATGGTTCAGTGGTTAAGAACACTGGTTGTTCTTGCAGAAGACCCAGGTTCGAATCCCAGCACCCCCATGACAACTAACAACTGTCCATAACTCCAGTCCCAGGGGATCCAACAGCCTCTTCTGACCTCTGCGGCACAGGTGCACTTACCTACATGCAGGCAATACACACATGTACACATAAAATAAAAATAATAAATAAAATTTTTAAAAATTAATTCTTTTATAGGGGCTGGAGAAATGGCTCAGTGGTAAGAGCACCGGCTGGTCTCGTAGAGGATCCGGGTTTCGTTCCCAGTATCCACGTGGCAGCTAGTAACTGTCTCTTAACTCCAGTCCCAGGGACCCAACACTCTCTTTTGGCCTCTGCAGGCACCAGGTACACATGGTATACTGTTGGGAGCTATTAATCCATTATGTACATAAGCTGTGGCAGGCTTGTTTACTGAGTTTGTGTTTTGCACACCAGTACCTAATCTGCCAAATCAGGAGGAATGTGTTTATATGGTGGAGCTCACAAAACAAGTATTTGACTGCTCCTTGACCCTCAGATACAGGTGGGAAAAAACAGTTGTTGAAACTGAGTTCTTCTGTATAAAAAGGCAGAACTCAAATAAACAGTGGCTGCAGTCTCTACTGACAGCCCTCCCAAGTATCTTTTCTGTCTCTTGTTTTTTCTTTCAATCCTCACTCCCCCTTTCAGGCACTGTCCATCTTGGCTGGCTAGCACTGGCAGTATACTTTGTGCAGGCAAAACTATCAACTATTAAAAAAAATTATTTTATATAAAAAGCATACTCAGAAATAATAGTTTTATGTTTTTATTTTTTTAGAGAGTCTTGTTACTATAACCCAAGCTGGCCTCAATTTGGGATCCTCCTCCCTCTACCTCTTAAGTGCTTGTGTTATAGGTGTGTGCCACTATATGTGGCTACTGTTTGTTAAGGAAAAAGTTACATAAGGTGGAATTTCCAGAGTAAATATTTAGCTTGCCTGGAGATAAATAAAGCAATTAAGAAAAAATCTTAACCATTCTGTTCCGGACTCTAAATACAGTGCAGCTGAAGAGAGGCTTGTGCTTGTGGAGACAGTCGGGGTGAGCAGAAGCATTCTGCCTTCCAGTACGGCCTCTGTAATCAGAAGGGGGAGTGATCTGGGCTGTCCCAGAAGCTGGATCTTTATTTTGTTAATCAAAAACTCTGCCTCCCATTGTGGAGTATGGGGCAATGAATGAGACTGTGGGGTGAGAATGGACTCCAGGTTTAAACATAGGGTACTTTCTATGAATTGTATAGTCAACAGCTTAAATCAGGGTTCCTCACTTTGGCTACAGGACTCATTCTGCAAGGCAACTGTTTTCTCCTTAATAAGTCAATGAGTTCTGCCCAAAACTGATGCTCGAACCTCAATTACTTGTCATGATCCATTTTCAGTTTTAACATCCTATCTTATTTTTTTAAATACGTAGCATAAAATTTCATACTTATTAAGTATGTTGCCTAAATATCTGTGTGATTCCAAAATTACTATGTTGGAAAATTCTAATGTGATGGTAACAGGAGAGGGACCCTTTAAGATGTAGTTTTGACGGCAGAACATTCACAAA